TATATAAATTCCAGTTATATTCTTTTGAGAATTAGGGGTATTACATTCTTCCCCCCTAACAAAAGGAATCCGTCCTCGGAATTCACGAAATTCAGAATTCTTTTATTTTAAATTCCTTTCCATTCCGTTGTGGACTTTTGCCTCTGTTTATGGACTCCACTGAATTCCCATTCTTTTAAAAAATTTATGGTTCCATTAGTTAAGAAACACCACAAACTACACATAGGTCGTTTTGCATAACAAATTATCCTTACCCAATATCTATACCAGGATACCAATCCATAGTCCTCCGAGTGCCTTAAAATATACGCACAAAATTCTTAGGCATACAGCGCCTGACAAATCGGTAACGCTAAACTATAGGCTACTGCCTAATCTGAGAAACAAAAACCGTGAAAAGTCAATTTAATATTTAAAACTGACCTTCCTCCAAACAGCACATTGCTTCCTACACGGAAGACATTCCAACCAACCATTTCCTGATAAAACTCTACTGCACGAGTTCAACTATTTATAAAATCCGACTACCGCCTCCAAACCGCGCGCAGTCCTTTATAAAAGAGAGCATTTCTCTCCGATGTATCCGTTAAATAAAGTCAAGGTCTTATTGTATAACCTTACTTCCATTTCAGACCAACAAGTGAGAGAACTGCACTACGTAGCATCTAAAACCCCAAACGTGGTCACACTAACCTCCTTGTGCCAATACAGGCACAGATAATAACCGAAAAGCGAAGTAACACTTTCAATTTCCCATTCACACTTAAGAGAAATACCTGAAACATATCCTCCATGATCAACGATAATAGTTTGATCAAAGTTCCCGTCTAGAAATGCGACGCATAGTTGTTGCTCCAACATCTTTAGAAAATTCCTGTAGCATAACACATTTTATCTACTATAATGAGTAACCATATGATATGACTCCGTTATCAGTGCAATGTAAAACTGATAAGAAACTTCCAAGTAAATAGTACTAGAAGTAATATCCACCAGCGAACTTGCTCTATCCACCACACTTAATCCATAGAGGATTAAAATTCCAACCAATGTTGGTAATTTCGACCAACCATCCACTCCTTCTGAGTCCTACTCCCATTTTGACATAGGAAGTGGCTAAAACCTCCAATGACATCCAAGTATCAATCTTCCATTTTGCTAACCAGGGTCAGCTCCAACACTCCAAGTTGACCTTTCCAATTTCCTTAGTAATAGTAAGTGTTATGTTCACACATGCTAAAACTCAACTAATTTCGCACTAATCACCGAAGGTTCAATTACCAAATCGGTTGATAAGATTAGCATCCTCCCAATAACTTCCACCAGACGAAATTTAATGCAAAGCGTAAATCACCACATCTATCCATCTAAGCCGTCTAGTGAGCCGTGCTATTTGTATGAACTGAAATCTTACCAATTCCAAATAGACAAAAAGAAACTGATATAATTTTATCAGTCAACCTATATCCCAACCAGAATCCCAACTCTTGCGTAAAATCAGTAATCTCTCATCTAGATCCGTGGAAACTACTCTGTCAGTCCTGCTTTAGCCTGAGAATTGCCCCAAGGATCTAATGTTTTCTGACAGTCCCCCTAGATTACCTACTAGATATCAGACAGTGAGACAATTCACTATGTCCCTCTTCCTACCTGCCGTACCAACATCTGCTTCCTTTTACGAAGTATCATGTTTCCTCCAAGACCCATTAAGAACTAAGAGTTATGAACCTCTGTCCTTACATCCTCCTTCGATTTTGTCTAACTTCAAATACATATGGAATCTTTTCAGCCTCCAATTAGTCAACAGTTTCTGAGTAACAACTATTTGTTGCAAATTGTGACCCTAAAAAAAAAAAAAAAAAATCCACTTTATTTATGCCAATGAAGAGACTTTGCTTCATCATCAATATGCAACTCCGGTAACTCCTTCTAACGACACACCCTTATGAACCAAATTCTTGATTAAGGATAGACCGATGAATAGTTAATCCGTCTACTATCCTCAGTCGATGTCGTTCTAATTAGTACTTAAACCAGTACAAAATCCTCCTGCTGACTTGGGAACACCTGTATAAAACTTTCGAAAAGATATTCAGCTAAGTCAGTTCCTCCGATAAATCATCGTGACTTTACAGTTTATTAAATGAATTTATATCATTTGACTCGAACTACTAGTCTACTTACCCCATCCTAAAAACATACCATAACCACGCATATCTAGGTTCATTAAATTGGCTTAAGGTAGATATACTTACCAAATCCTATGACCACAAGCTCAAAATCCTAGCGTAACTAACGTTATTCCTCCAAAACAGTAGTTGGTTGATCACATACTTGTGTCCCCAACTAAACCGCATTCCCAATCTTAAATAATTTACGAAAAATGAAACACATAATGCACACACAATAAATTAAACCCTAAACATAATTATAAACCCTAACCCTAATCCCAACCCATTAATACGTCGGCTACCCCATTATACATAAATTAAATCCTAAACATAATTATAAATACAACACACATAAATACTCTAAGCTACCAAAAATACACGTCAATTAAGTCACTAATAATCAAATAATTAAATCACAAATACACCAATTTAAATTAAAACACATAGCCCATTACAATTAAATAATTAAAGTAAAACAAATAAATAATTCACAATTAATCAATTACGCAAATAATAAAATAAATAACAATTTCAAATGCACAAAAATCAAATAATCAATTAAAATGCATATAAAATAAATAAATAAATTCCAGTTATATCCTTTTGAGAATTAGGGGTTTTACAGTAGGGATAGTCAGTAGATATCAGTCCGAACTCGGACTTGATAACTGGTATGTTGTGAAAAATATCATAAAATACCTTAGGAGAACCAATGATCTCATACTCATTTATGGATGTGATGATGTGGTTCCAGTCAGGTATGATAGTTCTATTTTCCAATCAGAAGTAGATACTATGATGTTCATGACTTAATGTATGTTCACTCAATGGAGGGGAAATCAGTTAGTAGATTGTTAAGCAGATTTCAACTGCTAACTCAAACCTGAAGGTGGAGTACATTGCAGCCTTAAAGGCAGCAAAGGAAGCCTTTTGGCTTGATCTCACTGATTTAGAGGTTGTGGAGCATACTAGCCTGCCTATCGAGCTATATTGCGACAATAATGCAGAAGTAGTCCAAACCAATGACCCAAGGTTCCATAGAGGAACAAGGTACACTGAGAGGAAAGTATCACGTCCTACATGATATTGTCCGGCAAGAAAATATTCTCATGGCTAGAACATTGCATTGGAACACAACTTTGTTAATCCATTAACAAAGGTGTTATCGATCAATAGTTTTGATCATCACCTGGATAACGTTGGAGTTAGATGTAATTTGAATTGGCTATGAGGGTAAGTGGGAGCTGTTGGGATTTATATGACCTGACATAGCAAATTCCTATTTGGATTATAGTGACATATGTTCCTAACATTTCTGAAATATTTATGCTTGATACAATTGGTGAATTCAATGTATTATGTTTCAATTCATTATAGAATTGATAGTGTCCACTTGATTACAAGAAATATTTATATATGTATGTGATGGCGATCAATACATGAATATAAATAGTAATCATAAATTGTTCATAATCGGTAATTATGGATGGACTCATAATTAATTAAGACTTGAACTGGATCCGCATTAGGTTGAGAGATATTGCGAGAGCCATCGTATGCAATTGCTCCCTATCACTATCATGTCATTTGACTCTTAAGTATGAGAAAAGTATAAACTCTTTTTTTAATTAATAATTACTTTGATTTGTTCGGCGGATACTTCAAGATCCTTAAACCGACACTTTGAGTAATTATGTAATTAATAGTTAAAGAGTTATATTTTTAATATTTGCATCATTACTACTTGCATTTATTTTGTATTGATTATGGTTGATCACAAAGTAAATTCGAAGGTCTTCGTGTGTTTTTAGACAAAATGATTTATTATATATTTATTTATTTAAATTATTATTTTTGTCAAACAAATGTTTTATTGTAATCGAGCCAGAAATAATCAATGGTACCAAAATAAATATATTAATTAAGTAGTCGGATTGATGGCTTTATTTATCTGATAACTAATTATGCATAGAGGAGTCAAAGTACAACATTGACTTAGAGGTTATTTATTATTTAATTGGAGTTCAATTAATTTCTTTTAGTAGAGTAGAAATTAATTTATGAATTAATTGAATTGAGTCCATGGACCGTGCTAATTATTAATTTATTGTAACTAATAAAATAATAAGCCTAAATGATTCTCACCCATAGCCCAACTTGATATTGGAATCCTATTAGATTTGTGACATGTGAATTAGAGATTAAGAATGATTTATTGTTTCCTTTTCTTTATCTTTATATTGCCTATATATATATATACATGGTCTATGTATATTGGGGGTGAATTTTTGAAAGAAGGGAAAAGGAATATATTTTCTCTCTCTAGAAAATTAAGGTTAGTGTTCTCATCTAATGGAGGCTCCCACAAGCCTAGTTTTCCAAGGTCATTCATGGAGGCTTATGAGTGATTACTAAAGGCAAAATAATTACCAAGAAGATGGAGATCCAAGGAGAAGGCATCTTGCTAAGGGATCTACAATAAGTGAGAACATTCACTTTAGAGGAAAGATTTAAAGGTTTATTCAGACCTTTGATGTAAGTATTCAATCCATTAATTGAATGATACATCATATTTTATTTTTGCATAAAACTTGTCTCTATGTGATGAATCAAGATCTGTGAATGAAAATTCCTCGAAAAGTTTTTAAAACTAACACGTTTCCCATCAATATATATATTTAAAATTTTATATGCATCTTTAGAAGTCCCAATTATATATATATATTTAAAATTTTCTTTGAAATGTGTTTGATATCCTTTTCAGGAATGCATACATATACTATATATGTACAATATATTAAGCATATCCCCACCAAAATCTTTCCCCGGTAGAACAAGGCTTTATGCTCTTGCTTTGTATAAAAGGGTAGGACAGTAATTTAATTATTATCCTTTCTTTTCTTTTCTCTCCTCTTTATTATCCAAACAAGAATAAGTATCATTTTTTTTTTTTTTTTTCCCTATCTATCTAAATATGAATAAAAATTATTACTATCCTTTATTTTCTTTTCTCCACTATCTATCCAAATATGAATAAAAATTATTACTATTCATTTTTTTTTTTTTTCTTTTCTATTCTAATTAATACTATCATTTTATTTCTTTTCTCACTTATTTATCCAAACGCACATGAAAGACTAAAATAAAGAAAAACAGATTGCCCGTTATTATATGACAAATTGAAAATACTAAAAAGTTGTCCATTACATGGCTAATCATCCTATTACACTGACTTTGAC